CTGTTTACTATTCTGCTTTCCACAAACACTTAGAAAGACAGAAGACGCCAAGAGCTAAAACAGTGATACAGAAAGCACCAGCCATACACTAACAATGTAGTCCAACGGTTAGGATATTTGCCTTCCAAGCAAAAAGTGAGATTCTTCATTGGGGTTGTTTCCTGACTTTTTTCGCGGGCGGAGCTGCGCTGGCTGCACCTGCTTGTTGGTTAGAAGTTCTTCGTTCAAGAGGGTTTCTCTGTCACACACACACACAGAGATAGATATATAAATATATATACGGTTTACCGGGCAGTTCTATTTGTGACGATATAGATAGATAGATAGATAGATAGATAGATAGAGATAGATAGATAGATAGAGATAGATAGATAGATAGATAGATAGATAGATAGAGCGAGAGAGAGAGAGAGAGAGACGTTGAAGCATGTGTGTTTCCGGTTGATGGCGGTATGGTGTTGGTACGAGGGGGAAAGAACACCGAATACAATAGAGAGAGAATAACTGAATGTTATATACTTCATTTGGATTCTGGAAACAAAAAGAGAGGAGCGAAGTCCTTTGGGACATCATCCGTTAAAAAGATGGGAATGATACAGATATCGAAGATTAGCAAGCCCCTTTCACAAGGATGGCCCACATTAATCGAGAAATGGTCCAAATTAAAAATAAAAAAAAAGTACAAGACAGAGAAAAAGGGAGGAGCTAAGAATGGGCATCTTGCAGCTGTCTGTCTGTGGCTGTAGTTCAGTTTTCCTGTTTTTTTTTTTTTTTTTTCATTCACGAAAATTGTCTACACCAGTTTGGTGTTTGCATCCCTGTTGATGTTTGTCTTCTCTTTGCTTGCCACTCAGAAGCTAAATAAATCCTTTTTGATGTTTGAACTTTGAACAAAATAAACCCTATTTGATTTTTGAAAGAAAATAAAACCTATTTATGTTCGAAACAAAGTAAAAGTTGTAAAACCTATTTATTTTCGAAATTCGAATATCTGTTGTGGTAATCGGTCAAGAGTTTTCTGTTTTGTTTCTATCGTGGGGATAAAACGGGAAATGGAAGCGCGTAGTCCGAGTTTTTTCTGTTTTGTTTCTCTGGTGGGGATAAACGGG